ATTCGTTGGCACTATTATAAACAAGTACATGCATACATCTCTCAATCATTTCTTGAGCATCAACGTGTTCCGATATTAATGCGAGTCACCGCAGCTCCAAGGTTCGTGGGCGGTGATACTGTGAAATCTTTTGCTGCGTGTAGCTGCCATAGTCAGGGACCATTTCGATAAAAGGGTTGCAGTGGAATATTCCTGCTGGTGTAATTTGATATACCTTTGTTCCGATGTAGCAAAGCCAAACGACTGCATTTGAACAAATTGTTAATCCTACGAGGACTAACTACACGCTTCGAAACTAAGCAAACTACGTGTCTGTGTAAGTTAGCCATTTATTTCGAAGCCTTTATCGAACAGACAAATTTTTATCGCTATATAATTCAGTCGAAGCATTCTAGATAAGACAAATAATGTATTTGAAACATTTTACGACGGAAAAATACAAGTAGAATGAAACGTTTCTAAAGTTGTTAACGACCAACAGTCTCAATCGAAGGTTTTACTGTTGATATCGTTGTCAAATGAGTCTAATTATCATTGTCCGTGTCAGACATTCGCTTGGATCTTTTTCATTATATGATTTCTGATTGGTCTAAGATGATAAATCATCGAACGAACATGGTAATGCGATTCTTCGATATCTCTACACTTTTCTGTTTGAAATATCCATCCAATCATCGGTCAAAATTCTCTTTTTTTGTTGAACTCGTCCTGGGTTTCTTGCCGTACGGAATGCGCTGCGCCATCATTACAAGCACGAAGAACTTTTATTCTGCTATGCCCTCCCAACGAAGCCTGTCTTCGCACATTGGCCGCAGGCAATTTATAATTTCGTGTCGCGATCCGTGGCAAAGCGAAATTTATTTCGTGCGTTCGAAACTAGTGATTATGAACGTTATTTTCAGATAATATTGCTAAATCTTTTCTTACAATGAATAATACAGGTGAAAATTGAAATTATTAATTATAGAAACTAGCTTCAAGTACACCATTTTCTACATTGCTTTCAATTTTGTGCAGCCACTTTTATTAAAAATGTTATCTATTATTGTCTTCGTTTAGAGTTGATTCTAATGTACCCCAAAACTTTGTTTCATGTTTTGTTGTTTTTAAGATTGGGATTGTTAAGTTTGGAGGAATTTTGATTTATCATACAAACCCTATTTTCTTCTATTAGAGTATACTTTTACGTAGGCAATTCAACAGAACTGAAAGGATCCTATGCAACGGAGCTACATCAAAATTTCTTACAGAGAAAATAAACCAGAATTGCTTGTTCCGTGTAAAAAAACAGATTTCAATTAGTAAATTAATAGTCATTTAAAATTAAACCGCAAATAAACGATGCTATAATAAATGTAACAATACAGGAATTTCAGTCTGACGTAACGCAAGTCTTACAATCCAGAAGGTTCAATTTATTCTTTTTTACGACGCAATGTAAATTTGATTAATCAATAAAATATAGATCTTGATGCGTTTATGTATCTACATATGTATATAGCCTGTTTCTACGAAACAGGAAAAAATATGAATGTTATCCAAAAGCATTAACATTTCCATTTATTTTTGCTACAACATCATGTTTGAAATGTTAAAGAGATTTTTTTCTTATTCTACTCTTTTGCATAATACTTTCGACTTAATATTTTGAGCTAATATTTACTGTGATTGTAATTAAATGACTTCGAAATGGGGATACAACGAATTTATCAATCTTTATGTTGTAAAACAATTTCCATAAACAAAAGCGTACAAATTTCGTCATGTATGTGTACTTATTTTGTAACACATTTTAATTGCAGTGAGTAAAAATGCCTGCCTCTTTAAAGTCGCATTATTATGCCCACTGTTTGACGGGGTAAGAGAACGCTCGAGGAATCGCACTTCAATCTTATCCGTGTGGAAAAAGAGGGGATAATTATGGGCAAGTAAGAGGAGAAAGATAGAAACGAACCGCCGGTAAACGGAACGATTGGAGAAACGTCTTCGCTATTTAACTTTCAGTGATTCGACTATAAAACCGCAAACCTGCCCCATATTTCATCCAAACGTGAAGAAATTCTTTATATACTCAACATTTAATTAATTCAAATTTGCATTATCCGTCATTCTCGAGGCTCGTTCCCTAGTCTTCATAAACCTTTTGAAATACATTCTATTGTAACACACATATTCGAGCAAACTGGTTTAAACCTATCACTCACGGTTTCATTAATTAGGTTACCGTTATTTTGTGAGAATTTTTGTGATCGGAATTCGACACTTAGAAATATAAACAAAAAGTGAATTAATAAACTAAATGACGTAAATAAGAAATCTGAAACCGGTCATTTTGACTGCCATGGTTCATTTAGTAACAATCTTTAGACTGCCGCGCTTCATACATATGAAGTCATATTGTATCGTATTTTAGAGAATACGTACTTCTTTTTTGTCAGACCTAATTTTGTGAGAAAAAATATTTAGAAAGAAAAATGATTCATGGTATAGTCTACACCATCTAACGACACATTAGGTTTCCTAAATATTTTTATAACAATTTAAGTCAGATGAAACAGGACAATCTACCTGTTCTCCAAAATATTAGCGACTCCATACGGCATCATGCTGGCAGTCTAAAGTTTAAGGAACGCAGAATTGTTAATTTTATTTAACATCGAGAGTCGATTAATAGACAAAGCAACAAACACGGAGCAACCTATCCTGTTTAATCGGTGGATAGATAAAGCGAGACTGCAAATCGTAAAAATTGTCGATTTCTAGTCACCTGTTTCGGCCCTGATCAATTCGGCTGGATTTACGAACTACCTCGAAACAATTCAATGCAGCTGCCCCGCATAGGGGTCGGCTGCCGTTGCCCGGCATCTCCGGAACGCGTAAAATCCGTATCCACCGCAACGACGACAGTTGTCGTGGTTCAATCAGTAAATTCAGCCGCAAGTAAAGTACCTCCAGGATATCGCGTGTGCACACGTATCTGTCGCTGACTATCGGACGATGAATCTACTCCGAGGACGTTTTACGATCGTCCTTCCACCCCTGGCACTCCTAAACTCAACAGCCTCCCCCGCAACTCCGTGTTTTCCCTCGTCAACGGCGCAGTATACTTTCCGGCTTGCCTCAATTATACGTAAGCGAGCAACCAGCGTCGCGTCCTTTACGGGAAAGTAAGTGTGTTGACGCTTCTAACCTCATCTCGGCAACCATGGAAAAATCATATTCAATATCGATGTAAATTGCTTAATTCTTCTCGTGTCGGACGGAAACGCCCGGTGGTCCACGTTTTAATGGACCTATTACTTCTGCGTTTAATATTCCCCGAGTTATACCCGTTATTCCTGGGAACTACTAGAATCTTTACTACTTATTTCACTCACAGCATCGTTCCGGGCACATTCAAGATAATTGGAGTCGAAGAGATCCGATTGACATTTTTTTTCTGACATTGAGAGAATCCAATTTTACCTTTATACGGAATTCGCATAGCGCTGAGAACAAGTACAGTTAGGATTAATTGACGCAGTATCACATATTTGCGGAAAATACAGTCGTGAACAAATATACAGTGTGTCCCATTGAAATCGACCCAGTCAAATATCTGCGAAACCGTCGATGATACTAAAAATGTTTCAAATGAAACTTGAACGGTCTCAGAGGCCACGTATAATCTGATATGTATTAATAAGATTTTCCTAGGTGAATGCGTCGAGAACAGATGAAGGTAATTTTATTTTTTTTCAATGGAATCATATATTTTCTATTGCATTAGTCGATTCAACTCGTCATTCTCTTCAGAAAAATACACTAAGGCATTTATTGCGAAAAATCGTTGGTTTAAAAGACATTTTAATTTTAGTAATGCATAGTGTCAGCACTCACCTATCTAAAGTCGGTGTTCGATAATACGACCTTCAGCCTGAATGCAAAGATTTACTCTTGTCTCTAAATTTTAAGTATCTTCTAAACCAATGATTTTTTGCAATAAATGCATTAGCATTTTTCTGAAGATAAGGACTTATATGGGCACCCTTTAAAACGGTATAACTTTTTTCAAACTGAACTAAATGATTCGAATTCTGTTTAGATAATAGAGGGACTAATCTAGCAGAAAAGACTTTTTCATAGCAATGGCTGTTTTTAATTTTGCTACTACTTGGAATGATAGAAAAAAATAGAAATCTTTCGTTCTCTTACTATAACGAAAATTAAAAAAAAAAAGGATTTTGTAGATATTGATTTATTTTATAGATATTATTCATTGACTTATATGCATGCTGAAAATGATTGGCGTTGTTTTAAGTTATAAACAATTAAATATCGCGAAAATCCAGTTATGTTCTGATTTTCAACACTTTCGACCAATATATGTGAGAAATCTGCAGTTTTTTAAATTCTATCAACAATTGCAGCTTGAATCTGTGTTAATCGATTTCTTTTTCGCATTTTTTAAGTTTTCGTTATAGGCTCAGATAAAGAAGTTAAAAAACATGAGTATTTATTTTCTTGTCATTACAAATAATAGTAAAATAAAAGAGAAGTATTAATAGTCATTGTGTGCTATACCGTTTTAGAGTTATGTTTCCGACTGTTCGTTTACTGTTTACAATTTATTATTGCATTATCTAATTTGCACTAATTTTGAACTTTTTGCGACGAATGTTTTCTCATTCAATTTTGTGTTTCATTTCAAATGCTTTTAAAGATACAATCTGAGTATCTGCTTCAAAATATCAATATTTCATGCATAATTTTAATTTTTGCTGGTAAAGATTATTAACATTTCTGAATACATTTAAATGTTGGCATCGATATGCAAAATTAAAAATATATATTAACAGTAGCTAGATTCAAGAATTGATTACTTCGACGATTTATAAAATTCGCCCTAAAGCACCAGCTATACATACAAAAGATGACCTTGGATGACAAAGAGACAAAGATGACAAAGGATGACCTTGGGAAGTTCTAAGAAAATGATCTAGATATAAAAATATTCTTACGTTGTTCAGGTGGCTTTAGGTGAACCATGCTATACATATAAGGGATACGTAGGAATCCGTAGTTGCAAAAAGAGCTGCTCGACGGCGTTCAATAGACCGGGTTTCTGTGACAAAATCAGATTGGATGAACGGAGTCCCAATAAATGAATTTTTATAGTGAATCGCCGTCTGAAAAGGGACAACCGACGAGACGACCGCATAAATATATTAATTATACAGGTTTTAGGATAAGCAGAACGATTTACGAAGAAACTTGTAACGATATTTATCTCGCTGTTGGGATAAAAACTTCGACCCACAGCTCCATAAACCGAGAGAAAGATGTGTAAAATATTTTACTTCTCATCGAATGGTTACCAACAGCGCTTCGGTTATCTATAAAGTGAGGATGCTAGGGTAGGGTATACGGGTCTATTTATGTAAAATCAAGAAAAGGGAAATATTAAATATAAGCCTCGTGTGTATATATCAAGTCCTTTTTGCGTGGCGAGATTCGTTTTACGACTTGAACGCTGTTTGCACATGCATTCGCACTTATACTCCTGTGGCTGCGTTCTCCACTTTGCAACTGCGGTATAGTCATTCAAGAATGCGCAAATTGAATTATTGAGAAGTATTCACGGCTTCTAGTTTAACTGCATCCTATATACATAAAGAAATTCGACGCACGTTTAATTTAGTGATGGGTTCATACATATGCCTTCCAGTCCAAGACAAAATTAAAAATTACTTTTACAAACATGGTTTGTTATAAAAAATCATCTACACAATTTTTCTCTAATCGGATATAGAAATTAATTCAGCAGTTTCTTTTTTTTTTATTAAATCAGGTACCGCGCGTTTTAAATTTCAATATTTTTCTGACATCATGAGATTTTTAAATATTAATTCCGAAACTTGTAAAGTGTCGTATTAACAGAAGATATTAACATGTGAATGTATAGAAACTGTTTCGAATGGTAGCTCATCAATTTACAATATATAATAATTTAACTGTTTCATGTAGCTACGGATTCGAATCGTTGACATAATAGCGCCCGTTTTTAGCGCGCGTAAACGTACATACCGTTTCCGGTTGTGCATTTGGCCTGTCGCGTCTACTATTCGGCTAATTTGATGGTTCCTCTAGTAACAGTTAATATCCACGCTAATCGTCCATGTGCATCAAGAAATGTGGAGTACGAGTAATTCTAGCATTATAAAAGCATGATCACTGATACCATTCGTATCACAAAGAACCCATTGATCAACATAGTGATTCGTCAGAAACAACTCTTCCGAGGTATAGAAAAGCGTATTCGACAATTTACTGCGACCTAACCAGTTGTTCAGCTCAGCTCAGTATACAATTTGACTTTTTTTAACGACAAAATGATAATTGGGACATCCTGTATATACATTTCCTAAAGCTTGCTTCTCTACTTTCCTCTGCACTTTACAGTTTGAAAAGTATGATTGCGCCTCCTCATATTTCTGAAAAATAACTATGTAAAAGATTCTATAACGGCATAATATTATACTTCAATCATGTTTGTATATGTAAATATTGCAAATAAGAAACATATTTGAAATATAATTCGAGTGTAATAATCATTTGACATTGTTGTTGTACTATTCATTAAATAATATTCAGTGTATTTATTAAAACGATCTGTTATAAACAAATTTTTACAAATTTTTTACAATGATCTGCTATAAATAAATTTTTCTCTATTCTACCTGAAAGTTTTCTTTATCTTCTCCCATCGAAACATAGAATGTGAGAACATATTCAAAAAATTGTCTACGATCAACGTTTTAAGTAGAACCTGTTTAAAAGTTACATAACTTTTCCTTCGCGCAATTATTCCGTAACAGTCCTTTCATTGTATCAGGCGACGTGATCAGGGACTAATAGTCGAATCAGCGACTAAGGTAACAAATTTCTCACCGAATTGAGTTTCCTGCAACGAGAGACGTATTCGTCCAGATAGTTCCGTGGTGGAGAGTGATGATTCAGGCGATCATCGGCATCACGGCCACCGATAAATGGCGCGCTCGAATGCGCGACAGTTCGCGCGGGTAAGGTTCTCAATGACAACGTCGACGTCGCGGTGTCGGTGCATCGTCCACGTAGGTAATTTCTACACGGCGGTCGGATGGATTCAATCGTAAAACCTCGACGTCCGTCTAAACCCGCGTGCCACCTCCACACCCGTCCAACCACCACTCTTCGGCGAAAAACCCCTCGCCCTCCTGACTGCTCGACGTGTCTCCTCCCCGCGCCAGGGACGTGCCCCCTCCCAGCCAGTACCCGCAGGCCACCATGCATCTCGTCGGTGTGCCGCTGCTACCAGCACTCTTAGTGAGTTACGGACCGCATGCCAGCGCGCGTCGAACGAATCTTCGGTGTCGCGGCTTTTCCACAATCTCACCGTCTAGATTCTCCTATAAATTTATAATAGAATTCGCCGCATGTTCGCGCCACTGCCGCGTTCGATGGCGTTGTGATAGCGGAGTCTCCACGCCGTGATTCCGCAACGTTCTTCTTCGCTACGTTTTCGCGCGAAGAAGCTTCTCGTTTTGAACAACGACGGCGACTACGACAGCGGCCGAATCAAGATAAAGCGGTGAGGTTTCTCTTTAGGGCTGAGGACTTTCGCTCGCGAACCGAGCTGGTTCCGCCAAGTTTGTCTCGGCGAGGCAAGTTTCGCGCGATCTAGCGTGGACCGACGGAAGTCCTGATGCAACAGCAGCGAAACAATATTCAACGTGCGTTGATGTATTCCGATGGAGCGGAGTATCGTGCCGCGGTGTAAGAGGGGGAAATCAAAGAGCAGGAGGGGGTCGGAGTGACACGCGGGACACTGCCAAGTCGCGCGGGGCAAGGAGACAATTGAAGTGCGCGTGTGCGAAAAGTGCGCGCCGCGTGGCCCTCAACCACGGTTCCGTTGTTGTGCTTTTTCTGCGGAACTGCATGCGTAATCTCTCTTTCTCCCTCTCTTTCTTCTCTCTCCTCGTCTCTCTATATGTCCTCTGTGCGCAACGCTCTCTCTTCTCTCTTTCTCACTATCTTTCTTGTCCTCTCTGGCAACTACTTAGAAGTATACTTCTCGAGCCGTTGTGGCTTCGTGCTCGTCTATTATAGCAAGGAAGCCTAGTGGACGGAGGGAACATCAGCCGCGCGCTAACAAAACAATTAACTACAAATAAGCAGAAGATAGCTGGTGGTACGGTAACCGTTACGTTTCGAGTGTGTTAATCGCGATGTGCGCACGTGAGGAAAAAGGACAGCGGGGAACGCAAACTCGTTGAATTGTTTGCGCGCGCGTGGTGCAGCTCGCGCGCAAATACGACACGAGGTTGGAACACGTCGCGTGGTATAAAGTAGTGTTGCCGTATCCGGTAGAGTAAGGCGCGCATAACGCGATAATTTTCCAAAGAAACCGCCGCGATCTGACGGACATGGAACACTTCGATATACATATAGTGTAATTGGTGGTGTTCTCCCGCGAAAATTGTGGCATGATACCGTGATTAACGGTTGTACGTGAGTTCACTGATCGCTGGAATGAACTCTGCTAAGTACAACAGCGCTGATAAGAAAGAACGTCTTGCTCACCTAACACCAGGTAAAAACCCACTGCATTTTCTACTCGTCGGTTATCGCGAAGCGTTTGTCTTTCGCTGTTGTCTCGAAACGATTATCGAGTTCAAATGTGTATTTGATCGACCAGCAAACATATTTATTTCTGCTTTATCTTTCGATCGCGAAAAATCTGACGGGAACTATCGGACGCCATCTTTCATGCGTCTAATCGATCGCGCGAGCGATTATTTCGCCAAACGGGTTGGTTTTCTTGAATTTGTCCATGGATCTAGAATTGTACCCATTTTGTTCGTGACTGTAATAGAAAATGTTTCGAACGTTATGATACGACGATCTCTTATCTAACGATAACGTTTACGCGAATACCGCTTTTTAACGATTACCATGAATATGCAGTCCTATCCACGCAAGAAAACACTCGTGCAGTTCCATACATATACATATTCAGCACGCGATTAGATTTCGACATCTTTGTCACGATTCGAATGTTCCACCACGAAAATGTTCTTGATTAGAGACACGCGCGTATATTACTTCGGCTAAGAGGTATACGCCATTTGTTATTGTTCCGTTTGTGGTCGTCGAATACGACTCGCGTTATGAAAATGAATCGCATGAGCTGCACCGACGCCGTGACAACTTTTTACATTATAGCAATATTACGGAGCCAATGGAGAAGCGTGGTTTATCGTGCTCGGTAATCTGTAACCGGCACGCCGATAACTATAGTTATCCTTTAACTCTCTAACAAATAACTCATTTTCGGCGTGTGCTTACGACCAGAAATTGGTGTAATTTAAACTAAAGATATTTCAAACGTTACTAGAATATCGACTTCTATTTAGTTCGCGTGAAAAATGTTGAATATGACACGGAGTTTCTTGAATATTTTCAGTTTTCAGTTCATATTTTGAAATATGGAATTTGTTCTATATTAACTGGCAATCGAATGAAGTTTCGGAAAAAATTGTGTTTCAGTGTAAAAATTTAAAAGACAACTATATGTTCAATTTAAGCATGAGAACTTTAGGAAATGGAGCAAAAATATTTAAAGACAATATTTCAGTATTGTTTCAAACGGAATTCTGTCCTCAAATATTTTTGGAATAAGTGACACATTTTTTCAGAACTTCTTATTGAAGCGCTTATGTACACTAAAATTTAATTCTTATAGTAATCGTATCGAAACAACGATCTTTATCAACGTCTGCATTAAAAATATACATTTATAATAGTAAAATTTCTTTCGTTATCCATAATTTATTATTACCCTTGTATATATTTTCAATGTAGTTCTTATTTAATTCTTAGCATTATTACCGACTCTTTTTTCTTATTCTCAACGCGATATTCTCACGTACTCACTTTGATCAAATGAGTGCATATCTTTAATACTTATCCTGTCTATGATCGCAATTGTTTAAAAACAGAACTTTCTAATTATACTTTTAACAGTCATGATTATGAACGTCGTTAGAAAAAATACACTTTCTACTACCATACTAATTCCAATTCGCTACTATTTTCCAAAACATAAATAATTTCGATCGTATATCTCGGTTTCCAACGTTGCCACGTACATTTCAAAAGATTCGATGAAAAAACAATGGGGCAATCTCGCGCGTGCACCAAAAGATCCGTCATGGCGGAGCGTAGACGCCCGTCGTGTCAGTTTCCCGTCGCCTAAACCTGCGGATTCAACGGCGATGAAAGCGTGCAACAAAAGGAAAACCGCGATTGACCACGGTCGTGTCGTCGAAACACGAGAACTCGCCGAACCGATCATCGACGATCGTGCAACGTTATTTCTTGTCGGCGAACACGATCTCCAATAAAGAGTTTGATCTTCACGGTGAAGACTCGCCGCCGAAAAAAAGATGAAACGCGGTCCGGGAAGGCTTCGACTCACGTTTCGCTCGAAATTGCTCGATACGGTCTGATATTGCAGAAAGAAAGAACAAGATAGGGTGGAGGAGGAGGTGGACCGAGGGGGGAGAGAAAGGGGGGTGGTGGTGTGGACGAGAGGAAGAGGTGGGGGAGGAGGCGGAGTCGATAAGAAGAGCGCGTCTCGCCGGTTTTGCGTGCAATTAGATGAGGTTGCTCTTCAGCGATCCCTGGTGCACCGTGACGCGCGGCTGCGAGCCGCAAGATAACGACGCGCGTACTCCCGCGACTTCCGAGGAAGTTTCCCATTTCGTGAATAGTATTGCACAATAGATACATTGTAGTCGGCGAAGATACATTCTCTCGTCGTGGCCGCTGGTCGACCGTGAGAAAGGTCGCTGTCTTTCCCGCCGACTAAAATATGACGCGGCGCCTTTGATCCCGGCGAGCGCATTACGCTTCATTTCTATCGAAATGAAAAGGCCACGTCCGACAGCAAGGAACCACCATGAAAACGCGAACCGAACGATGAAGGCGTCGCGTCGCGTCGGTCGACGACTTCTCGCGCGATCACCGGGGAACCGTGGGACTTCCAAGCGAAGACTAAAATGGTATCTTGCAAGCTAGAGTCAATCCTCTTCAAACACGGGGCATTCTGAATACGCGGGGCGATGATAACCACGGACCTCCTGTAACGTCATGTTCTAGCAAGTTAATCCTTTGAGTATTATTGGCTGATATACGCAGAGGGGTAAAAAAAGTATTCGTACACCTTTTAAAACGGAATCACTTTTTTAATAATTGGGCCAAGCGATCTACATCTTATTTTCAAAAATTGCAATTTGTTGGCACGATAAAAGAATCGAAAAGATTATATTTTTTCAACTTTTTTATCCGAGTCTATATTGAAAATTTAGAAAATTCGTCTCGTAGACGAAATCGAAATCTGTTGACCTTGGTACCAGCTATGAACAATTAAAGATCCAAAAGTCACAGTTTTGCCCCGATTTTTCAACCTTTCGACCAATAACTGTCAGAAATCTTGCAGTTTTTCAAATATTTCAAAGCCTGTAAATTGACTCTGCGTCAACCGATTTCGATGAAATTTTCAGTGTATATAAGTTATTGAGGTCTAGGAAACGAATTTTTTAAATTTTCGATATAGACTCGGATAAAAAAGTTGAGAAAACATAATTTTTTAATTCTTTTATCGTGCCAACAAATTGCAATTTTTGAAAATAATTATTNATGAAAGCGTGCAACAAAAGGAAAACCGCGATTGACCACGGTCGTGTCGTCGAAACACGAGAACTCGCCGAACCGATCATCGACGATCGTGCAACGTTATTTCTTGTCGGCGAACACGATCTCCAATAAAGAGTTTGATCTTCACGGTGAAGACTCGCCGCCGAAAAAAAGATGAAACGCGGTCCGGGAAGGCTTCGACTCACGTTTCGCTCGAAATTGCTCGATACGGTCTGATATTGCAGAAAGAAAGAACAAGATAGGGTGGAGGAGGAGGTGGACCGAGGGGGGAGAGAAAGGGGGGTGGTGGTGTGGACGAGAGGAAGAGGTGGGGGAGGAGGCGGAGTCGATAAGAAGAGCGCGTCTCGCCGGTTTTGCGTGCAATTAGATGAGGTTGCTCTTCAGCGATCCCTGGTGCACCGTGACGCGCGGCTGCGAGCCGCAAGATAACGACGCGCGTACTCCCGCGACTTCCGAGGAAGTTTCCCATTTCGTGAATAGTATTGCACAATAGATACATTGTAGTCGGCGAAGATACATTCTCTCGTCGTGGCCGCTGGTCGACCGTGAGAAAGGTCGCTGTCTTTCCCGCCGACTAAAATATGACGCGGCGCCTTTGATCCCGGCGAGCGCATTACGCTTCATTTCTATCGAAATGAAAAGGCCACGTCCGACAGCAAGGAACCACCATGAAAACGCGAACCGAACGATGAAGGCGTCGCGTCGCGTCGGTCGACGACTTCTCGCGCGATCACCGGGGAACCGTGGGACTTCCAAGCGAAGACTAAAATGGTATCTTGCAAGCTAGAGTCAATCCTCTTCAAACACGGGGCATTCTGAATACGCGGGGCGATGATAACCACGGACCTCCTGTAACGTCATGTTCTAGCAAGTTAATCCTTTGAGTATTATTGGCTGATATACGCAGAGGGGTAAAAAAAGTATTCGTACACCTTTTAAAACGGAATCACTTTTTTAATAATTGGGCCAAGCGATCTACATCTTATTTTCAAAAATTGCAATTTGTTGGCACGATAAAAGAATCGAAAAGATTATATTTTTTCAACTTTTTTATCCGAGTCTATATTGAAAATTTAGAAAATTCGTCTCGTAGACGAAATCGAAATCTGTTGACCTTGGTACCAGCTATGAACAATTAAAGATCCAAAAGTCACAGTTTTGCCCCGATTTTTCAACCTTTCGACCAATAACTGTCAGAAATCTTGCAGTTTTTCAAATATTTCAAAGCCTGTAAATTGACTCTGCGTCAACCGATTTCGATGAAATTTTCAGTGTATATAAGTTATTGAGGTCTAGGAAACGAATTTTTTAAATTTTCGATATAGACTCGGATAAAAAAGTTGAGAAAACATAATTTTTTAATTCTTTTATCGTGCCAACAAATTGCAATTTTTGAAAATAATTATTTAGCCATTGCCTCATCCCCCCCCCCCCAAAAAAAATTTAGATCGTTTGACCCAAAACTAAAAAAGTCATTGCATTTGAAAAGGTGTGCGAATACTTTTCTTACCCGCTGCATGTATGCGTACTGCGTAAGCTATCACTGAACGAATCAACTGTGTTATAAGAAGGCTGACTATAGCTTCCGGCGCTACCGGAACCCATCCTCCGTTGGCTCCACCCCTCTTCTTTTTATTTTTAATATTTCACACACTTTTCTTCTGTTCTTTTACGCTTCTTATCGATACGATCAATTGATTTGTTGCTCTTAACTGCAGATTTCTTTCCAAGTTTTGGTAATTGCAATGCACCGTGTTAGCGTATTGCGATTGAAAAACTAGATTTTTATTACAATTTTTTGGTTGCTTCAATATAAATGATCTTTTGCAGTTGTTACATTCAAAAAACATACAACAATGCTTAAATTTAATT